GATAGTGCAGGGTTTACCAACAGACCTCATTACTAAATTATTAAAGTTTAATAGCATATCGATCATTTTTTCAACATAACCTCTGAAATTTTTAATACAAATATATGTACTTTATAAAAAACATAAATATACTTTACATCATATCCTCTGTGCTTTACATACCCGCGAGTTGTTACGGTAAATAAAAATCAGACAAAGGAACCAAAGAAAGGAACTATTTTCAACAAAATCATATGCAGAAATGAGAAAATTCAAACTACTTGCATCCATCAAAAGATCAAAACTTCTTGCAATATTACACCCTCTTTTTATACTCTCAGAAATATTGACTAGAACAGTATTAGAGAGACTCCAGTTTCTATAACTTGGTAGAGTAAAGAGAAGTCGAAACCGTTGCGATATTGCATTGCGCTGTTTTTGTATAATTCTCGGGGACATTAACGAAAATCATTGCCAGTAAAATTCGAAAAGCGTGAGTTTCTATGTCTTTAAAGAGAATAGGAATCCGAAGTTGCTGCACCATTGGACTAAACCCTTTTTCAATAATTTCTAGAGACATAAATGACTGCACCATTCGACAGGGTCGAGTTTCTACCTCTCTGTTGAATATAGAAAATCAAAATAATGTATCTTGTAAGACACCATTGAGTTTGACTTTAAATATAGTCGGGCATAGGTATAGAGCCGAAAAATATAAAAACAAAGCACGATTCAATACAGCAGGGCCGGATTTAGCATAGGGCCAGCGGGGCCACGGCCCCAGGGCCCCCACCATTTAGGGGCCCCCATCAATGTAATATGTAGCTTTTTAATGAAACAAATATGGAAAAAATTGACGAAAAATTATACCGCGTGAATCATGTAATTTTCAATTATTTTTTTGTAGATCTAACTCTAATTTTTCGCGGATTTTTTATCGCTTATCCGCTTGCAAATCAGAATGTAAATTATCACACTCAAAGTTTTGGCGCGCGAAGACGTTTTTATATAGTCTATAGTCGTAAGTTATGACTCATAACAATTTTAAGCAGTTGCTCCTTTAGTGCTTGTCGTAACGTTTTTGTAAATACAGGCAAACAGTCAATTACTTATAATCTAATATTAAAGTTAGTTTTTGTCCCAGATTTTTATTGGTACATTGGAGTGTTGTGGAATATTTTCCGGTGTTTCCGAAATACTGTTTCGTGCTTTTCTTTGGACAAAAGATTGTTTTATTGTTTGATTTTGTATGAAAAACAGACAAATAATACCACTTTTGATGCACTTTTTTTCAGTTTGCGGTAAGTATTAAAAATACAAACAAAACATAGATCAATTTATATTTTACTTGAGTAAAATGTATATAAGGGTATGTTCGTATTATTCAAAATATATAAAATATAAAGTATATAAAAGCACTTTCATTTACAATTATATTCTACTATCTACGTTTTTATAGTTTTGCATACGAATTTATAATTTCTCAGACTTGGGTAAAATGTATATAAGGTTATGTTCGTATTATTCAAAATATACAGGGTGATTCAGACAAAAGCTCAGGGGAAATTCCTCTCATCAAAATATGAAAAAAAGTTCTTATAAACACGTGTCCGAAAATGCTTTATTATCGAGATACAGGGTATTTCGTTCGTTCGTTAAAAACGCTTTGGCCGATTTTATTAAAATTTATTAAATAATAAATGATTCAGATAATAAAAAATCACGTAAAGTTCATCTAGCTTAAAAATTAACCATGAGTTTTAATTTCCCAAGTGTCAACATTTTTAGAAATATTGAGGGCCCCCACCAAATGTCGGCCCCAGGGCCTCAAAACTCTAAATCCGGCCCTGCAATACAGTTCTGATAAAACTTTAAAAATTAGTATTCAAACGCGGAGTCATCCTATACAGTTCTATATTTTTCCGTTTGCTGTGTACCAAAATTTGAGTCTTGAGTTGCTCTTTCATAATAACTATGTTATAATATTACATAGGGCTGAGTTTCAAAAATAAAACTTAAAAACTGGGTGTGCAAAGTTACCCCCTGGTTGCGGGTTACTTTGTCTCACAGTGTATTTTCCGTATAAAATGAATTCAATATTATATTTTATTTTTATTAGACACGTGTTAGCAGCGACATATATCTATTGCAAGGGATTACCAATAAAAAAAATAAAAAATCGACCTGTAGTTAAACAAGGATCATCATTCCAATGGATTGCGCATAATATAGAAATTGTAACGCGTGTATTTCTAATAGTTTTGCACTGATGTGATATATACAATTTAAAAGTGTAATAAATCCCATTTCTTTCTTTAAAACACTAAGTAATTTTCCTGTAAAAAAAACTCAATAGAATCGCTCAATTGACAGGTTTAGACCAACAAATTATAAATGTTAATTTTATCAAGCGCGAAAAGATTTTTCATAAATGGGTTAAAGTCACCCGCGGGGTGCAAAGTTACCCGTGTTTACGGTACCGATTTTTTATTTCTGAATTAACATTTTTATGAATAATAATCCTACTATCTTCAACTTCAATCTAATCTGACTTATCCCACAAAATTTTCCAATTTTACTTTTTATGAAATAATGTCATACAACTTATGGTTCAGAGGTCAAATTGTTTATTTAATATTTTTAAATAAATATATATTAATATGTCGCAAATTTTTTTAAGGGGACGACAAGTACATTTCACTTTCATATTATGACAGTGAGGCGTATTTGTCGCCTCCTGAAGAATTTTACGAATGTAGAATCCAACATATTAGAACGTGGGTATCTGACATATTTGGAAATATTCTCAAAAGCTTCCTAGAAGCTCCATAAGAAACCTTCTAAGAACATTCCAAAAACGTATTCTTAAAATGTTCTTAGATTGCTTTTTAGGAAGGTTTTAAGAAGCTTCTAAGAATCTACTTGCATCATTAAAAGGGTATCTATTGAATGTTTTAAAAGTCCCTAAGAACATTCTTAGCAATAAGGGAAGGTTCTAAGAATATTCCATTATTCCGAGTCGTATCTTCTTAGAAGATTCTTAGAATCAAATTTTGCTATCAGGGCAAGACTTAAATAAAATGAATATTTTTATGTGGGTGTAAATAAAACTACTAAAAAACATTAAAAATTCACAGATTTATTTCATGAATCTTCTTTGGAGGCGTAAGAGAGTCATGCTTCCTAAAATTGGGAGTCTCTTACTTATTATAAACATAAATATTTTTTCTAAATTTATAAATATTCTTACATATTAACATTTATTTAGAACATGGCTAATTTATGTTTTTTGTTCTGAAAAGCCGAGTTTTTAAGGAACAAAGTATTTAATTTCTTAAAAACTCTTTATGTTGCCAAATAAAATTACCTATTAAAATATCTTTAGACCGGGTATTCTTTCTAAAACCTTATTATACTAAATTAAGGAGCCTATTGAATACGTCGACCTCTTGGAATTAACAAAAATAAAAAACAATTGAGCCAGTTAAGTGTTATACCTTGAGCTAACATATTGAAATTAAAAATAAAGAGTTATTTATTTTTAATTTCCATCAATATAAATATATATAGGTATATGATATTACACTTAGAAACATTACATATTATTTGGTTTTAAACTATTATACCATTCGCTGCAAGATTGCTTGCTTAAAAGTATTAAGTTACCATTCCATCCGATTAACTATTAAATAAAAAATTAAACTAATTTGAGCCCTTATTAGCTTAATTTTTGTTAATGGTTACTAAACCTTATATTTTCATGCAAGATGATGGAAATTCTCAACGAATTTCAATTATCTTTTTTGGACCAGTATTTTTGTCAAGTTTAAACAACATTTTAAATCAATTTCTTTATTTTTATAATAAAATTCTGTTTAAACTTCACAATACTTTTTAAAAATGTATTTAAGTATTAAAAACCGCACCCTGAATCACATTCTATTAAGCCAAATTAATTATTCTTCTTTGCTTATTAATATTTAAATACATTAAATAAAACAGCTTATGTCTCTCAGTCTTTTAAATTCTGCCAGCCATACAATTTATAAAAAATATTCTTTTAAATATATGTGTCATAAGATAATATTTATATTCTTTTACATTTGATCAATGTCTTTAAAACCAAAAATGTTGTGCAAATTACATAATATTTGGCTACAAAGACATATATTATTTATGACCAAATGGTTGTTGTGGAATAAATATACTGTATTGTGATGATATGAGAATAATAGTTCTAGACGTATACAGGGTAAAATATATATAACAAAATAAAATAACAGAATAATTCTTATTTAAAACTTAATATAAAAATAATATACAATATTTTTAAAATCACCCTGTATAATAAAATAGTTTTATTTAATTTAAAAATAATATTTGATAGTTAACAATCGAATACTTTAATTTATTCATATAAATAAATATTAATTACGCCCAATATATAGTAAAGATATGTAAACATCTATTACAAATAGGTAAATGGTATTTTTTTAAATAAAATACATAAATTTATAATTTTAAACAATTCTTTGGTAACATTTAACAATACTTTTTTTACACACTATAGGTCCAATCCAATACTAAAAGATTTCAAATTTGCTTTAACTAAATAATTTGTAAAATATTTAAATGAAATATTTAAACATTTCAAATGTTCTTTAATTAAATAATTTCTAAAATACATGCTTTGCTTGAATTGGACCGGTACCAATAGATGTGTTAATTAAAAACAAATTATGACCAATATGATTTTCCGGTTAATTGTACAAATTTATTTTAAATAAATACATTTTATAAATAATATAAGTAGTACAATTAGTAATAGGAATCACTGAACCATTATTTCGTATTAGTTACTGTACTATTTAATAAATATTATAAATAAAAACTAAAAGTTAAAAATATTGACAGTCAGATATTATATTTAAAAGTTATTGTCAGTCACCCTAAAATTTGACAATCATTTAACGTCTTTAAAATCTTATTACAGATAATAAAAGTGTTATAGTATAATTATAGAAAACTAATTAATAAAATAAATAATTTGAAGTATTTAAATATTCTATAAAACGTTTAAAAACCGAATTAATCATAACGTTTATATTAGGTACGTAGTTGTTGTTACTTAGGTGACCAGATATCTAAATATGTACGCCATTAAGTAATATGCAACTAAAAAAGTTAACACCTTACAAAAAGGTTCTTTTTTAATTTTTGATAAATTTAAATAACATTTCATTGTTACAAAATAAATTATGCCAATCTTTTGTAATTAATGTTAATTTAGTTGGTTGGCGAAAAAATTAACCTATTGGTTGTTCTATTTCCATTTTGTGTAGGGGTGTAACTGATGGGGACCTTTCCAGTTCAGGGGTAACTGTTTCGCAGTTTGAGCTGCATGGTGTCAAAATCGTGGGTATCAGACTTGCTATTTCCGGACTGTTTGTGGTAGTTTCTTCGTACACCCTTTCCTAATAACAATATTTAATTAGAAATATTAATAATTTTTTATGATTAAAAATTGGAATTTTTGCAGAGGACTCAGGTAACTAAAAATATTCATCTTTCCTGTCATAAGTCATTACTATAAAACCCAGAGTGATATAAGTCTACTTGTTTTCTTGTTAACTTGTAAAAGCATCCAATTTACACATTATTATTATTCCTTTGTAAAATGGGGAGCGGACGCCTGAATAAGCCATGGTAAACAAAATACTTTTAGAAATAAAAAATCGAATTTTAAAAATGGACATGTTTATGATCAAATTACATGCGACATGTTTGTTGTTGGTCGGAACCTTAGAGTAACAAAACTCTGTTACTCTAAGGTCGGAACCTACCAAGAGTTGTTTGTTTTTGATCAGTCCCACCCTAACTAACAAATTTTAAAAAATTGTGATTTGCTAAAAATTCAAAACATTACATGAGATTGCAAAAGTTAAAAAGAGAACAAATAAAAAAACTGAAATTTAGTAGTTAACTCAGTAAAATTATTTGACGTAAAAATTAAGTGTGCCATATTTTGATTCATGGACAGGGGCGTGCGCTACCTGGCGATCTGCTGGTCTGCCTATCTGCGCTTTTAAATTGACAAAATATAACAAATCTTGGAACTACTTCTGCTACAAGGTTTTAATTAAATACAATTGAATCGGTGAGATTGAGAACAGTACGTCCACCAGTAAGTCCACAAGTTAAAATTTTGACAAACCGTTTAAAAAAAATCCGTTTTATAGTTCCTAATAGATTTTTTTTTGTGAGAATATTTTAATAATTTTATAAAATATAATATTGATATTCTGTCAACTAATTTCTGATTTTAGAAAATAACGTCAAAATTAAATTTTTGGACACCCACCGATTCAATTTATATAGCGAGGCTTATTATAATAGAACCATAACATTGGTATATAAATACTACACTACCAACTACACAAGTCTCCATACAGCACAAGGATGTCGGACGCCGATAGGCTGCCGAACAACTGCCGCAGGGAATTCAATAAACGTCCATAGGACGTCCCAATGTCAAAGAAATGGATCAAAATCGAACGACATCGATATACTGCTGAATAAGGTCCTTTTGGATGTTATTCGGCGTTCTTTAGGTCCATTTCCTTGACATTGGGATGTTCTATGGATGGTCTATTGGATTTTCTGCGACAGTCGTTTGGCAGCCTTTTTGCGTCTGAGATCCTTGTTATAATGTATGTAGGTTTTAGAGCTGCATGCCCCGATCCGCGAATTCGCACTCATTCTGGAGCGGAACAAGTAGCCTTTGTTGGGCTCTGAAATATATAGTGTCTACAAACGTTAGTGGTTTAATTCTTTCTCGTCACCCTGCCAAACTTCTGCTTCTACAGGTACCCAAGTATTTTATGATGACGAGGATTGTGAGTGAGAAGTCGGGACACGGTACGTTTAAAATACGTTTGACCTACAACCTATTTTAATTTTGGGCTCAAAATGATCTGTTGACCTCTAGAAATATAAAATGAAAAAAAAATTCTTGGCAACGAACATCCGGTTTCAGGAGTTCAATGTGAAAACGAATGAATGATTTATAGTGAAAGTCTCCGTCATCACTTTAAACCTTACGCAGTCAAAAATAAGGTTCAGGTACCTATTTTGCTAAGCCTAATGGTTGCGACAACGTACAAGTTATGTCGAAACTTGTGCTTTTCCGACAAACCCGCAGAACGTACGTTTTACGAGCTCAACAAGTTGTTGATGGAGCATCAAAGAATGAAAAAAAATTATGGAGCTGAACCTGCAGGAAGATGAGAAAGTAAGAGATTATTACTACGCGGGACTTTACAGAGCAACGAGCAAGTGCAGACAATTTGAGAACGATCCTGAAACTAAAACTGATTACGAGGATGAAGAAAGGCAAAGTTAACGAACGAGTTATAGAAAAGGAAGATGGAAGATACGTTAGATAAAATTTTGGAAATTGGAAGAATGAAGATAGGCAAACGGAAAACGGGGCACAGGTGAACCATTTTGGCAGAACGCGTAGTTCAAATGTGAAAGATCAAAAAGACAAAATGGCGGCATAGAAAGGTAAACAAGAAAATATACCAAATCAAAGTAGATATTGGGCGTGCGGTGCCACAAGTCATCTGGCCCGATCGTGCAGAAAAAAAAGATTTCACTTCGTAGAAGGCAACAGCAACGATTTAATGAAGTCTAAGGGGAAAGTTTCGTTTTGTGTAGAGGAATCTGCATGTTGTATCTTGGGGCAAGACTGGCTGAAGGTGTTTGGCATTGGTTTAGGGGTTGTAAATGTGTTGATAAAGAACAAACACAAGAAAGTTTGGTCAAGATACCCAGAACTTCTTAGCGAGAGGCTAGGAAAGTTCAAACCGGCGAGGATAAAATTGCATCTTAAGAAAGACACAGTACCACTTTTCGCCAAAGCAATGAGTGTAATGCTAGAATATATGCAAAAGTTGGAGTAAGAGCTAGATGAACTATAAAAAGGGGGTAATAATCTCCGATGCAATCTACGGAGTGGGCAACACTACTGGTATGCGTGTTAAAAGAAAACGGAGAGCTAAGGATATGTGCGGATTATAAATCAACAGTCAACAAGCATTTAGTGGACAAGCAGTACCCGTTACCACATCATGAAAGGAGAAGTTAGCAGATGATCAGAGCTTACCTACAATTCCTGACATGGGCGACTCATCGAGGCCTTTACAAGGTGCATATGGGATTAAAATCGCATCATTTACATTCCAAAAACACATCAAATCGTTGTTCAGTCATCGACCATGTAACAGTATTTTTAGACGACACTTTTTTATGGGGAAAATCAAAGAAGAACAAGAAAAAAATTTAGCAAAAACGTTGGAGAGGATTGAAAAGGCAGGATTTACACTGACACAGAAAAACAAATGCCACATTTTCTAAGAGAATTTGTAGTTTTAAGGTCATGTAATAACGAAAGAAGGAGTTTTGAAGAGCAAAACGAAGATTAAAGCAGTGTTAAAGGTACCGAAACCAGAGAATGAGACAGAAGTTTTTTGGGCATGATCAATTATAATGCACCTAATTCGGTGAGTATTTTAAAACCTTTAAACGAGCTGCTAAACAAATAATTTAAGTGGACAGAAGAATGCGAGAGCCCTTTTAGAAAGGTTAGGAAAGAACTAACCTCGGACAGAGTATAGTTTTATTTTGATTCGGATTTGTCACTAGTGCTGACCACAGATGATAGCGAAAAGAGGATTCCAGTACACCTAAGCTAGAAAATCGATGGAAACCTGATTTCATTCGCGAGCGTTTTTTTTACTTTGTCGCTCGCCGAGCGACAAAGTAACCAAAACGCTCGCTTAGTAACCATGGAAACCATAATAAAGAAATGTTTAGTGTATTTGCGACTTTTGACACAAAAGTCCAATTTGTCCAATAATTATTAATTTTTACCAAACATTCTTTTAGAAACACCGGTTGTAGAAAAAATGCTGTATGTAAGTCGAGCGAGAAAAATCGAACAAAATTGATTTTTTTTATTACAGCGCCAGACAAAATCTACCTATTTTTAGTCGAATGATCCGAATCTGCAATAAAAAATAGGGTGTTCCATTGGAAATTTTAAACTTACCCCCTGTTCCCCCTATAAGGAGGAGAGTATGAGGACCAATTTAGAACTGATTGATTTCCCCCCTCGAATCATTTAATTTTTATTTTAAACATTTTTTCGTAAAATGCATACTAACTGAGATATTTCAAGTTTCAAGTTAAATGACTCAGCATGTTCATACTATATTTATACCTACCTATTATATTTGAACAGAGGTAATAATAATTAATAATAATTAAGGTTTACAATACAAATATAATAAGTAATTATATTATAAAACTGATGGTAATATTAGCTTTACCTTCAAATTAATTTTATTTAGATTATATTTGAACAGAGGTAATAATAATTAATAATAATTAAGGTTTACAATACAAATATAATTAGTAATTATATTATAAAACTGATGGTAATATTAGCTTTACCTTCAAATTAATTTTATTTAGATTAAATATAGTTTAGGCTTTGTAATTTGTAGCTGTTGGCTTTTGACCACTTTTAGGTTGGTTCAAGATGCGAATAATGACTAGACGCTCCTCAATTGTATGACCTTAATATTAATTAAAACATGAAATTATCCGAAAATTATATTGTACAATGTATTTTTGAATGGTTTATATAGATTTACAAATAAAAATAGCTACATGTCCGTTAAATAAAAAATAAAAAAAATTACACCTTAGATCAGCGATTCCTAATCTGAGTACCGTGAAACCAAAGGGGTCCTTGGAAAAGTAAAAAAAGTTCCGCGAATTACTTACATTAGTAAATAGTTGCGTTCAAACAAACCTCTAGGGCACGTTTTTTAATCCTAATTTAAATTATTATTATTTATTCTCATTTGGTGTAGGGTTTTATAAAATAAAAGGGATTTATTGTTACGTGACAATAAAAATTTAGGAATCGCTGCTTGGAATTGTCTTGTATTGGCATTAATTGTCTTAAGTTTTGGTATAATCTAGTAGACATTTTTTATATAAATTTAAGGCTTTAGAGGTAGCGGACTTTCTAAGAAGAATGCTTTAATATTGGGTCCTTTTTAACTTTATATTTAAACATTTTCGAAATTTCTAACTTTTTATTACCAAGTCTTTATTATGATTTTCAATCAAAGGGTTTGGTGCAATAAAACAAAGATTTACAATGTTTTTGACCCAGACAGCCAAAAAATGTTTTCAATGTAATAAAAGGCGCCAATCACGAATCAGCATTTCTGCCTAAATTCCAAAACCAAATGCAGTAGAACTGCTAAATCGCTATGGGAATTAAATTATTGTTTTAACTTTTATCTACAGCTTACTTGAGATTTGTCATATTTAAGCCTTTTCCATAGTTGTTTTCTATCCCCAGCTGCAGTTCCTCTAGCCGGATCATTGCTTGATGAGTAATAATTAGGATTTGAGAAGCTTCTACTTGGACCGTACATGTATTTCTTTTTACCTTAACACATATAATTTTTATAAAATATACAATACAAACAATTAATTAATTAATTATTAAATTACCTTTTTTGATAAATAAATAGCCAAACAGCATCAAGAACAACAAGATTACGAACAACATCGGAACCAAAGTCATAACGTAGAACAGATTTGAATGAGTTTTTGGTTTTGGAACATCAAAATCATCAACAGAATTTTCATATTGATGACTGTCGTTTTCATCGTCATCCTCATAGTCACACTTAAATTTATCTCCAGGACATTTTAAAGAAACAGGAGTTATAGGATCCGGTTTGCAATTTAGTTTGTTATCTGGACAAGCACAAGAGTAGTTCTTTTGCTTGAAAAAACACAAGTAGGGACATCCTCCATTGTTAATGGCGCATGGGTTCCAACCCAATTGTCTGCTTTGGGCGACCATGGTTACACCCATGGTAGCATCTAGATGTGGGCGTACTACTACAGTATCTTTACCAGTTGTTTTGTCCGCTTTATTTACTGATTTCTGCATCCAGTCGGTCCAGTAAATATGATCACCAAACTAAAAAATATTAATTAAATAAAACATTAGGAAAGGTTATATTTATAATATATTACTTGGGTTAATGAGAATGGGTGGGATCCTTGTATGTTAAGAAGCACTCTGTTCTCCCCATGTAAGTCTGTAGTTTCAATTTTCTCAGCATTTATTTTAGCGTCTATCCAGTAAAGCCTTTTTGCTAGATAATCCACAACCAGTCCTATGGGTAAAGTGAGATCTTCGTCAACAATACTTTTTCTTCCACTACCATCCATAAAAGATCTCTCTATTTTTGGTTTTACTCCCCAATCTGTCCAATACAAATAGCCTAAAACATTAAAATATTATAAATTTTAAAATATAAATGGGAATTTAATAAAAAACCTCGTCTGGGAAAGACCGCAATAGATCTGGGATCATTTAGACCCTTTTTGATAATAGTTTTTCTGTGGGAACCATCCAGTCTTACAACCTCAATAACTTTATTTCCGGTGTTTGTAAAATAAATATTATTGGCAATCCAGTCCACCGCTATTCCATCAGGGCTTGTTAAATTTGCGTTTACAATAGTAGTAACTTCTGTAGTGTTATACATATGAACCGTCTGGATTACATGTCTTTCCAAATCTGTGAAGAAAATTTGCTTTTTTTCCCAATGAAAATCAACATCAACAACGTTGTGAATGGAGTTAATTTGCAAAGTATAATCCCAGACATCTAAAAAGTAAAAATTATCAATAGTAAATCCAAAAAATAATATTAAGTTATTTACTTTCAGTATCTAGACTTATTCTACTCAAAGCATATTTTGTTGCCACAAGTAAATATGTAGATGGTTGAGGTTCACAATGTTTCTTGTTGCTAGATATACGAATACCAGTTGGACATTCGCATGTATAAGATGTTGGGTTTCTTAAGCACAAATGAGAGCAACCACCATTAGCTAAGCCACATGCATTTTCTGCTATATTATCGTGTTGAACAGATCGCACGTCCATTAATCCTTCTAGTTTATCTTTAATAACAGTTATATCGCTTCCATTGATTTTCTCTGCCCGATGTAAAGCACTTGTTCCCCAATCAGTCCAGTACACATGATTACCAACTACAACAAGCCCATATGGGTGAGGTACGCCTGAAATAACCAACTTTCTATTTTTGCCATTAAGATCGCTGGATTCTATAGTGTTTAATTTTGCATCATTCCAATATAAACGATTCGCTGGACGATCTATGGCTAAACCGTTTGGCCATGTAAGATTAGTTGAAATCAATGTTTCTCTATGAGTGCCGTCCATCCAAGCCACTTCTATTTTAGCTTGTTTACCCCAATCAGACCAAAACATTAAACCATGATGGTAGTGTAGTGTAATAGCTCTTGGATCATCTATATTTTTTGTAAACATAACTCTTCTATTTAAACCATTCAATTCAGCTACTTCAACGCTGTTACGTTCTCCATCAGTCCAATACATCTATAATATAATGAAATTAATAAAAAATATAATTTTTAGTTTCAATAAATACTTTTCTCCCTGTGGAATCTATTGCGATTCCATCTGGTGCTTCCATTTCATGCATTACGATTGTTTGTACAGTCCTTCCTTGTGCATTTGCTTTCTGAATAACATCTTCAGCAGTATCCGTCCAATATATTTCACCTGTTTTGCGGTCAACATCAACGGAGGTGGCACTCTTTAGTTTTGGAAGTGGAAGGACAACATCGGCCATGTAGGGAACATCTAAAGAAATTTGGCGGATGTCTACACGACGAGCCATAATAAGAAAGTTTATCGGACCATGCAGACAAGTTTTACCATCAGTCTAAAGTAAATTATGATGTTAATATAATAAAAAAAATTTTAAAAACTTACTCCTAATTTAATTCCTGTTGGACAAACGCATGCATGCCCTTTGGGTCGTAACAAACACAGATGAGAACAACCACCGTTATCAGTATGACATGGAGTACGTATGGTTTTTCTGTTTCTATGGAATACCCTGACGTCCATTAGACCGTTCATTTGAGAGGATAAAACTGTACGATTTACTCCTGTTAGTTTATTGGCCCTCTCAATATTTAATGTTTGCCAATCTGACCAATAAATATTGTTTCCAAAGACATCCAAACCAAAGGGATGAGGAATATCGGGACCCTCTTAAAACAAAAACATAAAATATTATTAATATTTTAAAATAAGCAATAACATACGCAATAGTATTTTTCTGTTCGATCCATCAAAGTTAGCAAATTCTATGGCTTTAGAGCCACCATCTGTCCAGTATATTTTTCCAGTAAAATGGTCTACTGCTAATCCATTTGGCCAGGTTAAATTTGTAGCAGCTATGGTTATTCTGTTTAAACCATCCATATCGGCTCTTTCTATTTTGGGTTTTTCACCCCAGTCAGACCAATACATATAACCGACTATTAATGAGAAAAGTTATTAATAATACAGTTACAAAAATGTATATGAGACTTACCTATAGGGTCAACGACAATGTCTCTAGGTTTATCCAGATCTTCCCAAATTATTAAACTTCTCATCTGACCGTCAGATTGCGCAACTTCAATTCTTGCAGTATCGGCGTCTGTCCAATAAATTTTGTCTGTGCACCAATCCAAAGCCAAACCCGCAGGTGTAACTAAAAAATTTAATTAGAATTTTGAAAACATTAATAAAAATAACACCAAACTTATATTGGTATGAACCAAGACTTCTTGGTCGCTGCCATTCCAAAATGCTCTATTTATTGTATCACGTTCCACGTCTGTCCAATAAATATAATCGTTTTTGGCATCCCATGCTATAGCAACGGCTGATTTAATGCCGTTTACTGGAATAACCATTTCTAGATTGTGGTTGGAATTAGGATCTAAATGCTTTAGCCTCAAATCCTTCTTACGAGCAAACAGCAATAATTTATCAGGCTTTTGGCAAGCTTTCTTGTCTGCTTTTAACTTTTGACCCATTCTACATACGCAGGTGTAAGATTTTTTATTTGGAATACACATATGAGCACAACCTCCATTATTGGTTCCGCATTTGTTGGGATATCTTGGTTGTCTTTGTGGATGGTAACTATGTATATCCATAGGAAAATGCAACTGGGAGTGTATCGTTCTTAGACCAGCTCCTGTAGCTTTATTTGCAGTCGAGATAGATTTAGTATGCCAATCAGTCCAAAATATAGATTCTTCAAATATTGTTAAAGCAAATGGATGAGGTAACCCTTTACTGATAACTTTCTTTCTATTAGAACCATCTAGCATAGCAGTTTCTATAACGTTATGCTTTGCATCTGCCCAATAAATCCTGCTGTTTGTATAATCCAAAGTGAGACCGTTTGGCCAAAACACCGATTCAGTAATTATGCTTTTTCTGTTACTGCCATCCATCTCCGCTCTTTCGATCTTTGGGTTTGGACCCCAGTCGGTCCAAAATACCAAAGCTTCACCTGGATGCACAACTATAGCTCTAGGTTTATCAATTTCATTTGAAGCTATGATACCACGTTGTTGACCGTCCAATGATGCAACTTCTATTCTGCGAGTACCTGAGTCAGTCCAGAATATTAAATCGTGAATCCAATCCAAAGCGACTCCACCAGGTGATTCAAGTCCCCATTTTATTATATCTGAAAAATACAAAAACTAAGTTAAGTTGTTTTTGTAGCCAATTGCACTTATTTACCTATAGTATCTGTACCGTTAACGTAAGCTCTACGTATAACGTCCATAGAGACATCAGACCAAAATATGTAACCCTTTTCATAGTGATAATCTAAAGCAATAGCGTTATGTAATCCTTTAAGTATGGCTGTATACTTATTATTACTTAAAGAAACCTGTAATGGAACCTTGATTGGTGATTATTAGTCAAAAGTAAGAAACACTAAAAATATTACCTGTCTTATATCAATTCGGTTAGCAAAAAGTAAAGTAGGAGGCGCTCCAACAGCTTTACATGATCTTAAATCAGGTCTTAGTATATAACCTGTCATGCAGTCACAATTAAAGCTACCTATAGTGTTGTTGCACTTTTGAGAACAAACGGGATCAGTTGCATACATACATTCATCTATATCTTCGCAGCTATAACCATCGTCAGCAAGATAGTAACCAGGTAAGCAAGAACATTCTTTCTTTCCATCCTTTAAAATGCAAAGCTGTTTGCACTTCGTGCCAGGTTCACACTCGCGTTTGCTCGGACAATTTAACTCATCCTCCCCTTTAGGGCAATCCTTTTGCCCATCACAAACATGTTTTTTATTGATGCACATATACGTTGAGTTATCCTTTTTTGTTGGGCCTGCGCAAGGGAATTTAGATTCATCGCATACGATTTCGCACTTGGCTTCATCTTCTCCATGAGAGCAGTCTTGAAATCCGTCACAAACCCAAGTGTGCTAAAACATTAGATAATTTTGGATATTGCTGGTAATTTATATTATTTTTATACCAAAATGCAAACTCCATTATCACAAGTAAATGCGTCAGAAGAACATGATTTTGTTTCGGAGAAATTACAATTTGCCTCATCCTCATTATCTTCGCAGTCTTGTTGTTTGTCACATCTGTATCTGTCTGGGATGCATTTACCGTTATTACATCTATAAATATTATAATTAATTACGAATGTGGGTATTGCATAAATAATGTTTACTTGAATTCTCCCGCCACACAATGCCCAAGAACTTTGGGGCAATCATTTTCATCACTCCAATCCTCGCAATCATCATCACCGTCACATTTGAATTCTTTTTTGATGCAAACTTTGTTAGTGCATTGGAATTCCTCATCGTCGCAAAAAGGTGGCACAATATCTATAATAATATTTTGATTTTAATTTAAATATAATTTTGCTTCTATTTTTCATACCACAATCAGCTTCATCAGATCCGTCTCTGCAGTCGATCTGTCGGTCGCATTTCCATCCCAAAGAAATACATGATAAATCGCTACACTCAAATTCCTGTTCAGTACATCTAAAAAAATAAGTATAATTAAAATGCTGTAAAAGGTATAGGTTGGGTTATCGTAGAATTCGTAAAGCCTATATATACAATGTCAAAACAGTTTAATAATCAAAATAAAAAATTTTAAGAAAAATTTGTAAAATTTTATAAAACATGTGTTTAGATTTTAAACCTAAGAATTGTGTCTTATCAGATGAGCGATGTCCACTTTTCATTAGGTAAGTAATGAGTTTTACTCAGTGGCGTAAATAAATAAAAACAAATAAAAAATATAAAATAAATCCATAAATAGCAACTAATAGGAAGAGAATCTACGCCCTTTTGGGGGTGGGCGAAATATTAAAACTAAATATAGACTTGTTATGCAACGAAATTGGGTTTTTTATATTAACAAAACATGTACCTACATAAACATGTAAATATTTTGTGAATTACATATATTTGAATATACAAAGTATGATGTTAACTAATCTAAAAATGAATTGGTCAAAATGACTAATCACTACAGTTATTAGCAGGGTCGATCCTGGCGAGCGTGCAGTGCGTGCACCCACGCAGGCGCAACATTTTGGGGGCGCAAAATCTAAGGGTCAATCAGTATTTTATAACGATAAACTTTCTTGCAAATAAACAAATACATACATAGAATAAAGTTTACAGCCTTTCTTTGCGTTGCAACGCGTTGCCCGCATTAAAGCCTTATGCCGCTATTTCTTTCGGCCGCTATAAGCGCCTTTTGCCGCTTTGATATTGGAGGTTTATTTTTTTATATATAAGTATCAAATTGTAATAATATTTTTAGTATTCGTTTGATAGTTGACAGTGCATGACTTTGTAACGAGCTTACATCACTAAAAACCAGTTGTAGTTATTATCTTGGTTATATTTTTTATAATTTTGTTTGTTTTGGTAATTTAATAAATATTCTTTTAAACTTAATTTCAGCAGTTTTTTAACATTTTCAATTACATATTGCCAGTTTGTCGTAAAATATATATATTTTTAAATTTTAGGGCTTAAAATTAAAATACTTAATGTAGGTATTACATTTAAATATAAAAGGGGCGCACCAAAGAATGCTGCACGTAGGCGCCAGACACCCCAGGAACGGGCCTGGTTATTAGTGGCTACTTTTTCACTTATACCATGGTTAATCTTGGGATACCATGGTATCCCCAACATTTGATAGCCAATTAGTTTGTAAATTGTCCCCTAAACCCGAAAATACCGTCAAAAAATATGAAAGAAGAGAAGTTTTTAAGCTATATATATATATATATTATATGGAAAATTTACTATATCTCAAAAAGTTTTTTGATATTTTCGGATTTAGGGGACAATTTTCTATGAAAATTGACTGCTAAATGTTTGTGTTATAAATTGATATTGACGAGAATTATTAGTGGCTGCTTTTTCGCTATGACAATTAGTCAATTTTGACTAATTCATTTTTAGAGAGAAGTTTTTGTTAACCTTGCTGGGTATTAATTATTAGGGATTGGTAATTACTAAGATTATAAATGCAAAAGTGTTTGTTGGTTGGTCCTTTTACGTAGCAACGGATCTACGTAGTTTTTTGCAGAAAGTTAATGGTCCGTAGAGTAATATAGGCTAATTTTTATTTCAGGAAAATACGAGTGTTCTATGTGATAATTGCTTATTTTGTAATTATGACAATTTGGTTTTTGGATTGGTTTAATGCTAAAAAACCCTAAGATGTTTTTATTCCATTAAATTTTATTTAAATTGTACATGGTACCTACCTATAACCCGCAAGGTGGTCCAAATAATGAATTTCATAATTGTTAATTTATTAACTTCAATCTGTGATCGAAATGCTATACTTCGCTCACTAGTGGGCAAAATAGTATTTATCCACGGGATGAAGATGTAATTAAAATTGAAATAAAGTTATGTTAAAACTGTCTTTTAAATGTCAGATAAAATAATTGTTCATAATTCGTTTTTACACTATTTATATTTTTGTTTTTACGTTGTAATATACAGTGTGTCCGTAAAGTCCCGGAACATGTGATTATTTTGAAAACGGTAATTTTTTTTTAAAAACGCTGAAACACGCCAACTTTGATATTTTTCTAGCAATATTATAGCATATGTAGTTGTTCCAAATTCTGCCGCGTGGCGGCGCCACAATCAAAGTCAGTTTTTTTTAAATTGCAACCCTTTATTTTTGTTGCATTTTTGGATAGCTACCGTTGTCCTGATTACATTGATGTGCCACATCTGGGGGGTTACATAAGAAAATTTTTGAGAAAATCAGGTTTTTGCTGCCGAATGAGATTTTGGTATTTTGTCAAACTTACACAATCTATGCGTTGCTTAATGTTTTTTGGAAAGCCAATCAGAGCAGTTGCTCAAAGTGTCCACCGTAAACTATTTGGAAATGGAACAGCCTGTCTACAAACGAGCGTTGTACGTTTGCCAGTACCGCTGGAGTGATCATCTGGATCTCGGCTTGAATGCGGTGTCTTAGGTCGTCCAAATTTTAAGGCCTGTTTACATAGACGCGGTTTTTAAGAGGTCCCCATAAAAAGAAGTCTAAAGGGTTCAAATCGGGCGATCGCGCTGGCCACTCAATTTGACCCCTTTGACCTATCCAGCGATTGGGAAAGACCTGATTTAAATAATCCCTTACTAGCAATGCATAGTGCCCCGTAACAGCGAATAAGTTCGTCAAAACCAAAATCTTAATCAGCGGCAAAAACCTACTTTTCTCAAAAAATTTCTTATGTAACCCTCTACATGTAGCATATCAATGTACTCAGGACGACGGTAGCTATCCAAAAATGCAACAAAAATTAAGGGTTGTAATTTAAAAAAACCTTACTTCGATTGGGGCGCCGCTACGCGGCAGATTTTGGAACAACTACATATGCTAAAATATTGCTAGAAAAATACCAAAGTTAACGTGTTTCAGCGTTTTTTTTAAAAAAAATACCGTTTTCAAAATGATCACATGTTCCGGGACTTTACGGACACACTGTATATTTCTTGCGGTAGATGAATACATTCGAAAGAGGAGATTCTAATTGCGTGTTACACTTGCTAAGGTTCCACTAGTCGCAAAATATTTTATAGGTATACATACGGGCCATGCTTTTTTCTGTGCTCATGATTAAAGATAGTTTACAACATTTTTATAAGGCGGTTAGGTTTCTTTTTTTATCTACGCCAGTGAGATAAGAACTTCTTATTCCACTCATTTTGAGTGAGATAAGAAGTTCATTAACGCACGCGTTTTTCTCTGCTTTTAACCAATCAAATAAAAAAGTCAAAATGTCAAAATAACCCTAAATTAAGTCTTAGACAAAAATAATTACCGTTTATTTTTTCATTTAGAGGCGTAGATAAAAATTTGTACAATATACGTGTGATAACGCTTTATTAACGTACTTTTGCGATTTCGCATGCGTACGTTAATAAAGCTCTTATCCCACTTATATCGTAAATAACTATTATTTTGAGTGCCAAACAAACCAAAAAATAAAATGGATTTAAAAAAGTTTTTGGAGAATCAAATTTCTTGTATTATTATTCAAACAAAAAACATATATGTACTGCGCGGCCATGTATTTAAATATCATACAAGCTTTATTTGCCTTCGTTTCGATTTATATTTTTAAAATATTTTTTTAAACTCACCCTACTTTAGTACAATTAAGTTCATCGGAATAATCCTTACAATCGTTGTCATTATCACAAATCCAGTTCTTTGGAATACATAGGCCATTAGAGCACTCAAACTGATCTGCCGTGCAATTATCAGCCACACCTTAAAATAACAATATTTTTTAAAAATGAATTCTAAAAACCTAAAATCAAAATACCGCAATGGGTTTCATCGGAGAAATCACCACAGTCATCGTCTCCATCGCAGAGCCACTCTTTCGATATACAAGTTTTGGACATGGGGCAACGAATATGGTTTTTGGTTTCGTCGCATTTTCCATTGCGGTTAACATTTTCGCCGCATTCAAGTTCGTCCTCGTAGCCTTGACAATCAGGATCGCCGTCACATCTGTATTCGCTTTTGATGCAAGTGCAGCTTTGTACGCAAAGAAACTCGCCTCTGGGGCAATCTTCTCCACAGGGATGTTCGTCAGGAAAAGATTTTACTTGGATTTCGTCTTCGTCGTCGGGGTTTTGTATGGTTTTTGGAACAATGCCGAATTCTCTTCTTGGCGGTGGTAAATACCTAGTAAACATAAATAAACTAAACATTGTTTCATAATTTTGTAGGAATCAGGTTTTTATAATATTATAAACTGTTTACTTTAATAACTCATCATCCACAATTCTAATCTCCTATTAATAAAAAAAACTTACTTTCCAGGGTTAGGATCAAATCCTTTACCAGGAAGAAACCCAAAATCAAAAGGATTTCTTCCACTTGATAAGGCATGGTTTGGGCGTCCATTAGAGTATTCAGGTCTGCCACCATACATACCACCTAAAATAAAAGAATTTAACAATAGTTTACCACATTTTGTTAAAATTAAAAATATTCATAAAAAATTGCCAAATCAATAAAATCACTTTTCTGCTTGAACACACCAGGGTAAAGTAACATATTTACAAGAAAAAATTGCAATTGCTTTTTGAGTAAAAATAATGTACATATTCCTTTATTATAGTGTATATAGTGAATATATGTTTTAAATATCATAATTTTTAAGTTAAGTTGTTTTAAACCCTTGATAATGTTTTTTCTAAACTTTTCTTTGCTTTATGCTATTTGAAGTCCAGTAAAAATATCATAGCTTTCTTTGGAACATTGTTTATACGCGCACTAGTTATAATGTCTCAAAAATTCCAAGCGCAATCGTGTCAGCGTTGCCAAATGAGGAGGTGCATTCCAAAACTCAGCTTATCCATATTAGTTATTTTCGAGCAAAATGTCAAAAACCTTACACGTGAGTACTAACGCATATCAGGCAAATTCAATACTTTAAACGAAATATAAAGGCATAAGTAAAACATTTATATACCTTGATTAAAAAGGTATAGCTCCAGTTTAAAATAATTTAAAACAACCAACTTATATGCCGAGTTCTGCATGATATAACCAATAGATAAGGCAAGTTTTGGAACGATAGTCAATTTGTAAATGAATTTTAAATGAAATAAGGTTGGTTTTAGAACATTATAAACTTTTCAGGGTATAAGGGGATACATGTTAAATGTACAGACACCATTAACTCATTTTTATTAAAAAGTGGATAAGCCAAGTTTTGGAATGGACCTCCTCAAATACCGAAAGTCAAAGGTCACGAAAAACCTTTATTTTTAAGCGTATAATAATTTTTTATTATTAAAAAACGACTTTACATTAATACCTACTTGTCAAATTATTGCAAGCCTCCACAAATATGAAGCTAAAATGGCATCATGAACCTTACCTTAAATTGATGTGACAAAACGCGGAGAAAACTTATTTATTGCCTAGTACACAATCTACTGCCCCGGCTAGCGCGAAGTAAAATGTATGCTCGTCCAAGGTCGTCGCCAGCCGCTAAGCTAGGGGGGCCAGCATAAAAGAACTGAAGAGAAAAATAAAAAAAAAAAAGTATTAATAAAAAAAATAAAAAACGAACAAAATAACTACATAGAAAATCAATTGGAACATAATCTTTGCGAATTCGTTTCGTCACTTTGTTGACGAACTCGTCCAAGTTTTTGAAAATGTGTTGCCATTGAGTCGAGTTTCAGACATGGTGCTCCTCAACCAGGTTTTGATTCTCCTGAGGCTACTGAATGACCTTTCAACTGTACAAGTCGTAGGTACAAGGTAAAGCAACAAGGATCTTCAAAGCCTTCTTAATTTCAGGGAAAAAATCTTCAGTTTCCTTGAGGATTTCCACAATACTCAGTTTATCTTTTCAATTAGCCGGGTGACTTGAGAGCGTTAACCTCTAGGGAGGCAGCTGCCCCCCTGCCCCTCTCTGGCGACGCCCTTTTGCTCGTCTATAATATGAACTTCCTCCGCCTGGTCTAAAGTGTACTATTTTCTCGATTATCTCGTAAACTATTGGATTTACTTGGATTTTGGTTACCATAAAATGTTTTAGTGGATAAGCGTTAAGCAAATGAATGGGATATAAAAACCCAAACATTTAAAACAACGTGATAGTGCCATTAGAAAAAAAATATTTTTCTGACAATTTTACCTTTTTTATTGAGGTTAAAGACGTTGTATTTAGTGGTTAGGAATTACTTCAAAAGCCATTAAAACATTAAAGTGACCATTGCGATGCTGCGTCGTGTCTTAACTATAAAATTACGCCGCGTGGATTGGATTGGATTTACTTGGATTTTGGTTACCATAAAATGTTTTAGTGGATAAGCGTTAAGCAAATGAATGGGATATAAAAACCCAAACATTTAAAACAACGTGATAGTGTCATTAGAAAAAAAATATTTTTCTGACAATTTTACCTTTTTTATTGAGGTTAAAGACGTTGTATTTAGTGGTTAGGAATTACTTCAAAAGCCATTAAAACATTAAAGTGACCATTGCGATGCTGCGTCGTGTCTTAACTATAAAATTACGCCGCGTTTTTATATTGAACTAAACTTATTACTAAGGCGGGCTTGGTTACTGCCTTAGCACAATTCCGCGCGCGCGTTATGGCCTAGTAGATAGGAGACCAGACTCTCACTCGGGGAGGCTCAGGTTCGATTTCCAGTGATGTTATACTTTTTTTTTTAAATTCTGTTAAAAATGCTTTATTTAAAAAAATATTTTTTAATGTGAAATTACTTAATACCTACAATGTGATATTCCCTTTTATATTTTTTCTTAAAAATACTTCATTTTAGAAAAAAATGTTTTTTTATTGTCAAATTAACATAATACCATGTGTTACTAAAAATTTTGTTCTATTGTGTTGAATTGTACTGTTGTTATAAAATCTTGATAATAGGTTTTGTTCAATAAAAGTTGCGTGCCAATAAGTTTAGTTAAAAGACGCAAGCGGCGTGGTAGTAGCCGCGTTTATAAAACTTTGTAAAAAGTAACTCCGCGCGCACCTATATCTAACGCCTAGTAATTTTCTCTTGCTCACAATGTGCCGCCTAATTTTATTAACATGTCATGTTAATAAAATTAGGCGGCGGCGAATGTTTGAAATTGCGTCATCAAATTCTGAACCAAGCACAGACATTAAGTATATCATAAAGCAAATTATTATGAAATATTTAATTGGTGAAAAACTTATATTATTGAGGTTATTATTATTTTGGCAAGGGTTTGATATAAAAAATTAAATTGAATTGAATTGGTAACAAATTAATGAAATATTGTGTGATGTAGTGGCTCTTGGACCCTGAATATGTATGGAATTATCGTTTATTAAATTAATGTATATTAGTACCTATATTATTATACGAGAGATAATGCAGGCTATTATTCACAAGTATACTCATATATGAGGTCCGTGTAAATAATGCGCATTATTTCGAGAGTAATACTAATATTCTTTTTTACTCAAATTAAGTAATTTTTACTAGTAACAAAATTTATAATAACCCCACTTTCTACTGATTTAAAAGATCAAAATCAATCTTACTTTTTCCCAATTTAAAACCCGATTAGTTCAAATAACAGTGCATATTGAAATCAATGACACTAACAACGTGAATATTGAGTTCATTATTCCCGTTGTTAGGCAAGGCGGTTTTATTGGTTACCATTATTTACAGAAAAAAAATAATGTCAGTAATATGCATTGGTAGTAGAAGAAATTTATAATGCATTACATTTTATATTAAACATTATATTTATTAATTATAATTGAAGAGGTAAAAAGCAAAAGGGTACAAGTACAAAAAAAGAGAAGTGGAGTGGATACTTGTTGACTCTAAACTACCTACCCAATTCTGCACAAGTTATTTTCATAGTAAAATGCACTTGTACCCTTTTGCTTCTTACCCCTTTAATTATTAATGTTACTGACAAAGAGAATAATCCGGCCAATGACGTTATTGGACGGTCAATAATGAGTTGGCTAAATAGCTTGTAAGTAAGCTAAATGAAATTACCGCTGAATATAGGGAAGTTCATTTATAAAAAAATAAGTTTGGAGTTGCAACTTGCAAGTAGTGATGGGAGATCGGTGGATAAACATCGATGTTAATATCGAAACTCCATATCGATGTTGTTTAACTTTTAGTTAGTCGCGTGCTTGGTGTAACGTTACTTTTTGCGTCGGGACATATGGCTCCAAGGGGTAAATAAGGCTATTTTTACAGTTTTTTCTAAAAAATTAGTAAAAGCATATTAGGCTTAGCGTTATCAATTTAAAATAATTTTATATTCGGAAGTGAGAGCACAAATTGAAAAAATCAACCAAATTATGCTAGGACGAATAAAACCGTCAGCTATAAAAAGAAACACAATTGCAAAAAAATTTAGTAGGCATATGAAGCTCTGCGAACCTTTTTTAGAAATATTTTAAGAGCACCATAAAAGAAAAAAATCAGCCAAGAAACCACAGGTCTTCAAATGCCATGTGGCCAGGGACACTTTGTGACATTCTGCCTTTAAAATATTCTAATTCTAAAGGTTTAATTTAATAAGGTTCTCAGAGCCTAATAAGAAAATACTCAAATAAAGTCAAATCCTTAAAATTTAAAAATTCGACCTTATTTAAGACTGGGCTGTTTAATCGTTAATAATCGTTAAATATCAAAAGTTAACTATAGTTAATATAATGATAATGTTAATATAATGACATAAAAATAATGTTATTTTGACAACTGTTCGATGTTTTTTTTTGTAACTTTAATATTTTCGTTATATTTGAGGACCCTAGAAGCCAAGGGGTATAAGTACATTTTGTTTAGTTTTGAGATAATCATATGTTTAAAGTAAAAAACACTTGTAATTTGGAGTCAAAATTGTTTTCTGTTTAATTACTTTGTTTTTTAAGATGGCCAAGCTTAGAATTTAGTTATATTCCTTGAATACCAAGTAAAATATACCAATCACTATCTTTTTCTGTACATAACTACATTTTTGTATCCCTTAGCTTCTAGGGTCCTCATTTGCAATTGATTTTTACCTTGTTAACCTAGGTATAGCTATAGCTATAACACAGGCCAACAGCTATGTTGGTACCGGAGTATTTGTAGCTAATGTTATATAAATTTGATGCCATGAATTCAAATATGTCATTAGTTTTGCCCTCAGCTTAAACTTTCTTAAATATCTCAAATTTAGTAAAATAACCGTTGCACATGTTTTAAGTTAAATTCATGGATTAAATCAAATAATGTTTATTATTATATTATACAAATATATAATTATATTATATTTTACTATATTATGTACAAAGATAGACGAAAGAGTCATCGTTGAAACCAATTACATGGTCACTAAAGGTTCTTTTTCTTGACTTTCTTAAATGTAAAACATTCCCTTTTTAAACTTTAGCAGTAGCATCTTTCTTG